AAACTGGCTGCAGCAACCGTGGGGCTCGCGCTCGGTCTCGATTCACCGTAATGAGCGTGGCGCGCGTTCTTACATCGATGTGCGAAACCACTTTTACTTGAGATGCACTTTCACTGTTTCGCTCGGCGATAGCATCGCACACGATTCAAATCTTAATCCTCTCTTGCTGTCGCGCGACCACACCCTCGGCGTTGGTGCCTTTCATAAATCGTTACCTCTGCATCAATTATCTGCGTTGACTTGAACATTATGCGGCCATAATGTCTGTAGCTGTTTTATCACTTTATCACTTGCGATATTATATATTCTATGATTTATGGTTCGTTACTGTCACAAAAATATTTAATGTTTTTTTCTTGTTTAAAAAATTACTTTGTTAATTAGAATAACATACTTTGTAACATTAAAATGCTTTAAAAAGATTAATTAATTACATGATAAGAACGGTTTTACTGAAGTATCTAAAAATTTAGCTAGATACAGATTTAAAGATTTTGTTGAAGTATCAAAACAATTTATATGTAGGACGCTCGAACTAATTGCTAGAATGTCAATTTTTTGCAGCATTGCTTATCGTGCTCGAGTTTCCTACATAATTATTTTGATGGTCTAACAAATTTATTTTTAAATTTGTATCTATCTAAATGTTTATAATAGATATTTCAGCAAAATCTTTAAATTTTTAGATATTTTACCAAATTTATCTTGTATATTAATGACAGATGTTATTAAAAATAAACAGAATTCAGTCTATCAGTTTTTAATTTTTTAATTAGCTCTCGAATATACATTGTTGTATATGGATTAATTTTATTAGATTAAAACTGTATAATTAAAATTGAGTTTTAAATTTTTAAAGAAGAAAAAATTAGATGTGCTAGTGTGTAAATAATCTATTCAGTAAAATAATAAAATGTGCTTCCACAACATTCTGTTGGTTGCATGAACATCTGCATTTTGGTGAATTGCAATCATGCAATCATGTTTATTCACAGATTGTTGAACAAGTAAACTAAACCGTGACATTACCACATTATCACATTTACGTTGATCTTCGTCTCACGAGTTGATACACGCAATTGCGAGCATGAAAGAACAGCCGCAACTGAAAAACAATTGCATATAACTGCACCAGAGAGACTCTCTCTCCTTATGTGAGAATTACTTTATCACCTGATTTATCACTGGAAGAATAACTTGTTAAAAGCAACGGAAGCGACAGTAAAAATGATAAAGTGTGCAGATTGTCATTATCACAATGCATTTATACCTGCCCCCTTTTATCTTCTCAGCAGTGAAAATAGCATTAAAGTACTGAAAATAGTAAGACCCCTGATGTTTGCTAAAGTCATTAGTCCCGACTAGTTTATGATGATTCCCGATTCTAGAAGCTACAATATAACAGCTAGTAAACAGATGGAAAGTTTTATACGCAATAATCGTATAACTTTTTGTCAATGTCAATAATGATCACTCTCTCTTTATTACATCTTTAAGTTTTGTTAACATTCTTTTCATTCAAAGAAAATAGTTTTTTCTCTAATTTTACTATAAAGTTTTAAATAATATTGTATAAAGATTTTATTAATAATAGTAAATTTAATAACAAAAAATATTAAACTTAGTATAGTTTTATAGTATTTTTTACATATATATGTGCAATTTAAAATTATATCACGTACTTAGTGTAAATGATGCGTACAACAAACTTCTAACATTATTACACAGTATTTAATTTGTTAACGATTCAAATGGATAATCTGTATCTTATCTCGAAATTCTACATAATAAAAAGTTATGTTATATACAATACACTTATTTCTAGAAAATGAAAAAAAAATTTACACTTAAATATTATTTCTAAAGCAGTAGATATATTTTATCAAAAATTATATAGTACTATTGATTGAAAAAGGTTAAATTCAATTTTGCTGAAGAAGATTTGCTATAAATGTGTTTGTTATACAATCTTATTTATATATTAATACCAAAAATATATATAATAACGTTAATTGACGAACTATTAAAGGTCCCGTTCATCAAATTGTTATTTAGAGACAAGCTATTATTAATTAAGGTGTTAATTAATAATAGTTATAAAGTATTACTTTGTTATATTCTTTACATTCTACCATTGTTGTAACACGTGCATATGCATGTATAATGGTCTTAAGTATGAAAAGATAATTAATATGCGGACGAATAGCTTATTATTTACTCAGAAATCCTAGGCACATATCGCAAAATTACCTATAACATAAAGTTTTAGTAATTTACTTTATGCATTTTTCAATCTTGGTGAACGTGAAGAACATTGGTCGGGACTACACTTTCGGTATTTATCGTTATATCGTGCAGCTGGCATTTGCACATGCAAGAATGTACTTGAATATAGCGAATTGTTACAATCAACGTAATGAAGAGAAGGGAGAAAGTAGTGCTGGTATATAAAGAGTTAGCCATGACTTTGAAAGCATCGTAGAATCTATTGCGCGTTTCCACGGACGAGTATCGTAGAATCAATTGTCTCGACGGTGTCTTTGGCGCATGATTTCGCAAATCATGAGACTTTTTGTGAGTACTTTCGTCATCACATTGAATATTGTACTGTGTATTTAGTTTTACGTGTTCTTGCATTATATTTCTAGAAGAGAATTATTTGTTATACATATAATTAAATTATTATACTTGCAGTTATTAACAGACGATATTAGTTTAGAATATAAAACCTAACAAATTTAATTATTATTATTTAACAATATTTAATTATTAATTTATATTAAAAATTATGTTTTAAATAAATTTTTTTATTAATTAAGTAGAAGAACCAATTTTTTGTCTAAATACGTTCTTGGATACATTTCTAGTACACCATATTATTATTTTTTGAAAATGATAGTAACAGTCAAATATTTAATTTCAATTTTTTCGTAAATGTTAAATAATCATTAATTTCTTGAATAAAGGAAAAGCAGAAAAACAAATCTTACTTTTCTCACAAAGAGCAATTCAGTTGATAAACGAGACAAGGTTGCAATTAGTTATTTCTTACGAAATTACTACATTCTGTGTGAACATCATTCCGAATATGGTTTGGTAAGGCGATTAGAAAAACTAGTGATCTGCGCGTTCAATTAGATACAGTTATCTCGTGAAACTGCCTAAAAGAAGAGTTTACTATCGCGGGTATCGCGACTAGAAAGTGGTTATGAATAACGATGTTAGCGACATTCTACTTCGGAACTCGGTGATTTTAATGACTCACTTACACTTGTAGGTACTTGCCACAATGGTGGCCGCAGTGTGGGCTTCTTACCATGATGAGGATCACAGTAGTACTACATATCACGAAACTTCTAAGCCAGTGGAGATACCTATCTACAAGAAATACGCGATACCAATTCCGCACCCGGTTGCCGTTCCAGTTCCTCAGCAAATTAAAATTCCGATACCTCAACCCTATCAAGTCGAAGTCGCAGTTCCGCATCCGGTACCCGTAGAAGTTATTAAACACATTGAGATACCTATAGAGAAACCGGAACCATATGTCGTGGAGAAGAAGGTTTGTATTGTAAATAAATATTTTTGAAAGGTTATATGAAATTATAATAAATCGTCTGTAAAGAAAAACGCACCTATAATATAATTTTTACTTTGTGATATTATAAGTATATTATTATTTTATTACACAGTTAATAAGATACAAGATTATATAGAAAATATTATATTATTTAAATATTATAAAAATGTTATATTGTTTATATTATTTAAATTAATTGTGTTTTTGAAATTTAAAATATTGATCTATAAAAAGTATCGTGATATTGAAAGAGATCAATAATTATAGGATGTTTTATGTTTCTAAAATAAAATATTCTTTATTAAACTTTGTGAATCTATAAACGTATTGCGTTGCAGGTACCATATGTCGTCGAGAAGCCGTACCCAGTTACAGTGGAGAAGCACTTTCCAGTGCCAATACCTAAACCGTATCCAGTTCACGTGCCAGTATACAAGCACGTTTTTCATCATAAGAGTTCAGGACACGGTTCAGGACACTGGAAAAAGCACTAATACATTTTGGGCGATTCTCTTCAGTATCTTTATGCCAAAAATAGCGACAAGCGTTACACGAGTAATATTAAGTCATAAGAGTTGTGATGTATGTACATAGTTTATTGTTATAAATGTAACATTTATATTTGTTAAATAAACTCTTAAACAAACTAATAAATAATTGTTTCTTCTTATATAAGCACTAGTTATTATTACTTAAATAAGTAATTTAGAATCATAGAAAAATTAATTATGGACATTTAATTGATACAATTACACAGAAAAAAATTAATAATTTTGTTAAAATATTATAAAATTTAATCAGATAGATCTGAAAATAATATTGTTGGATCATCAAAATAATTATGTAAAAATCTCAAGCATAATAAACACTACAAAAAATTTTTACAATCTAGCAATTAGTTTAAGTATCTTACACAATTATTTTTATCATTAAATCAAATTATTTTTTAGATCTGTATTTAGCTAAATTTTTTTTATCCGTTTTTTTATAACTTTGATAAACATGTTTGAATTAACGTAATAAACAAAGTAATTTTTTAAAAACGTAAATAATGATATTATATATAGCATAAGTATAATATATATAAGATGATAAAAAAATGCATATTATATAAATTATTTGTATAATTAAATATCTATACTAAAAAAAAATATAGTCAATTTTAATAAATATTTAGTTGAATACTGCCAACTAAATATTTATTAAATATAAAGATATATTTATTTGATACAAGAAATGTTATTTTGATTTAACAATCATTTTTTTTATTAAACAAATATTTATTTACTGTAAGTAAATGTTTAGTTGGCAGAATTAAACTAAATATTTATTAAAATTGACTATATTTTTTTCTCAATGTAGTATATAAATTAAACATATTGAATTAAATATATAATATATAAATATATAATATACATAATATGCATGTGCATACAGAATTACATTAATATTTTTTTGATAAGTCTTTTTTTGTACACTAATTTTCTAATAAAAAATTAAAAATCTTTGAGATTTCAATGCTCCCAGCGACATAGGGTTGCATGCAATAAATACTTGCGCCTGATTTTTTGCACAAACGTGAAATGCATCCGTAGTTATTATAAATTATATACGTAACTATTTTCCTACAGGCGGCACTTCAGGCGATATTTCACGATACAGTGTTCGACTTGTATGGCAGATTGGCGTGTCCACCGCGTGGATAAACGACGACGAATAATGTCAACGACGCAATGTGTCGCCATGCCCGAGGTGGTCACTCACTCACGTTGTCATAGAATTTATTCAGGAAATACCGGGGCGCGTACGATTGCATCATGGATCTAACTTTTTACGCCGCTTAAGGGAATCACATTCGACTTCAGCAAGAAACTTGCCCTCTTTAAGTGGAGCAAAAGTTTATAAAACCGAGGACTACGAGTGACGCGTTTCTAGTTTGGTCCAGAACTCCCGATCTATTGGTCATCGTGCAATTCAACGGAAACAGAAGCAAAATCATGTTCAGACTATTGGTAAGCACTGATGTAATGCTGCTCCGTGATAGATTTAACTCTTTGATGCCACCTGAGTGTGGCCTTCCAAAAGTTTCTTTTACCTAACTATGCTATAACTTTTTTATTAATAAAGATATTTACTTTTACTTGCTTCTATTACCATTCTTAATGTCTGTTTCAATTAAAAAAAATTATTATAATACGTTCATTTTTATATACAATTTTTATGTTCTTATACAATACCTATTCTTATATAATACCTGATAAAGCGATTCCAATTAAGCAATAGAGTATTCAGTGTGCTTTTTATTTTATAGTTTCCAGATTGATAATAAATTATAAAAATAGATTTCTACAGAATTAATTTTGATTAAGAGAGCCCCCCAGAGAGTTTAACTTAATTTCTAAATGGCACTTAATATATTAATTATCAAACAAAATATTTATAGTTAGCGAATATGCAACATAATACTTGCAAACGTGTATTATTCTTCACAAAATTTAAAAAGTATGATTTTTAAATATATTAAATATTTTACACATTCTATACTTAATTTTGTATATACATATATACACGGATCTTTTAGCAAGTTCTTGTTTACGTCATTCATAATAATTTATTTCTATATAATCTAATTTCTAGATACCATGCTTGTTGTGGCTGTCAACGGTGCGCTCGGAGACCGGGATGCACATAGACATGCCGGTCGAGTCGCTGGACAAAACATCGGATGTCTCAATGCTGAAGGCAAAGAGAGATTCCATCCACCAACCTTGCGAACCCATTCACCAACCGCTCTATTCGCATGTTCCCGCTTATTCACCATCACCGGTCTACGTTAAGAGACCCCTAGTCCAACCGGCCTACTTGAAGAAAGAGCTGGGCATAGCACCCTTAGCTCACCTTCAATACATCCAACAGCCTCACGCCTATCCCTCTGTGCAGAAGCCGACCATCACGTACGTGAAACCGGCGACTCCCGTGGTGAATTACCATGCACAGCATCAATCGTTGCAATACATCAAACCCGTAATGCCCATCTACCAGAGCCCCATTGCACCGTCCTATGCTCCGATTTACCAGAAGCCGCTGCATTACGCACCCACGTACCAGAGCCCTATATACCACGATGTAATGCCGAAAATCTTCCTTAAGAAGTACGAGACACCCGCTGCCCAGATACTGTACCAAAAACCGCTGGTCCATGCGCCCGCCATTCAGTACGCCTCGCCGAATGTGGTAAACGCGCAGGCACCGCAGGTGTCCTACGTGAAACCTTTGGTTCATGCACCATCACCTGTGTACGCTCCGCAGCCGGATCACGATTCCATTATAGTTAAGCCTCATTGTGCGTAGAACGTTTGATCGAACAATCGATATTAATATGTCAAGCTGCACAAAATGAGAACATATCTAAATGCGCTTAAGATTAAATGATCGACTGATGATTTCATCGTCGGCTCATTGACCAGCGTTTTCTAAATTGAAAATATGAAACTTGTAAAATGCAATGGAAAATTGTAAATTGTGAAATTATATGTAAAATGTTATATTAGAACAATGCAATGTATTTATAGCGATAAAGATCAGGAAATGCTACGAGTCAAAATGAAAGGAAGCGAATTGTCAAAAACTGACACAAATTTAAGAATATAATAAAATTATTTTTCTTTATCATTTCTTTGTCTTAATTTTTTTTTAATTTTGAAATTTTGCAATACATTTTCTTGACGCTTTAATCTGATGGAGACCTTCAGTCTGTAATGCACCGAAAAAAGTATTCTAAATTTTAATAAATTTTTTGTTTGAAAAGTACCAACTAAATACTTATTAGATGTAAAGATACATTTATTTGGTACAAGAACTATTAATTTAATTTAATAATAATTTTTTCTTAAGTAAATATTTATTTACTGTAAGTGAATGTTTAGTTGGCACTATTCTAATAAATATTTATTAAAATTCAGTACACATTTCTTCTCAGTATAAAAATAAAATTTACACGAGCGTAAATCATAATTGAAATCATGCGTTCAATAAATATTAGTTAATAATATAAATATATAATTTATATTATAAAACGTATTTAGATTATTTAAACTCTCAATTTACGTGAATAATTACCTTGCTTCTCAATTAAGGAATTCTATAATTAATTTTTAATAAAACGATATCTATCCTATTTCAAAACGTAAATCTTTATTCTGTGAATATCTTAATACTCTCTTGATAAGATTCACATAAAGATTATAAATACTGAACGACCTTAGTGCCGAAACTTTCCAACCGTAAAATATCGCTATTCTTTTAAACTTTCATCTAGAGAAGATGCAATTATGCATAGAAATTTCATAAGCGTACAATTAACGTTACGAAGTTGAGAACATCTTCCGCTTATCTAGAGTGCGTCGAAATCATAATTCTTCAAGCTATGAAATCCCACTACTATTAAGCTTCTTTAATTGTTCTCAGGAATTGAATCGCATCATTAAACATTACACATCATAATTACAGAGCTTAGATCACAATTATAAAATATATAATTATGCATAATTTTAATTTTATTTAACAAGGCATTTAATTATTAATGTGTAATTCAAAGAAGTATCGTGATAAAAATTTATTACGAAACTTCACAAAAGGACGATTTTACTAAAAAGTCTAAAAATTCAGTTAAATAAAAATTCAGATAAAAAAATAATTTTGTTGGATCAAAATCATTATGTAGGACGCTCAAACTAATTGTTAGAATGTTAAAACTTTTTGTAACATTGCTCATCATACTTGAGTTTCTTATATAATCATTTTAACTGTTTAAAATTAGAGAATTTTTTGAGACTTGGCTAAATTTTTAAATATTTTGTTCTTTCCGTATTTGGAAGAAGGAATGAGACTGCTTGTATAACAGTTAAGTCTTTATTGCAAATATCACCAAAAAACTTTTCTTCCCGTTTTATCGCGACAGAAACTGATTGCATAAAATCAATACTTATTGGAGTTGGAATTAATAGCACTGCGCTGGTGAGCTTTCTACTTATTCCCGAGATTTCGAAGAATCGCACGATTTCGACATTCACTTACGCGCAACACCGCTCGGACGGGGTTGCATAATTCGGCAATGAAACGGTGAACTATCTCGGCGTTTTGAAATGACCTACACATGCACGTTCGCGGGTGTAACCGGCCGGCTTTCCCATATCTATGTACAAACGTGCTATGTACGGATTCGCCTCCACACGAATCCACGCCATGAAGCACGAATTGTAAACATCCGCCCATGATGCGTAATATTCACATAAAACTTACGCAATAATATTACGCGACCACCGTTGTATAAAATAGACATCCATGAGAAGATACTTTCAGTATAATAGAGTCTACCGAGCTGTCCGAGAAGTGAATTCATTATGAGTTACTATGTAAGTGAATGCTGAAAAAATTATTAAGAAAACAGTGGAAACTATATAAGAGTGACGTAAAAAAAAAAATTTAATTTTATGTCTTTTTCATCGTGCAATTGTGACGTACATAAAAGAATTGTATATAATTTTATATATCGCGTAAAAATTGTCGCAACGAATAATTGGAAAAATCAGTAATTAAATCCAAAAATGCTCTAATATTTTTTTTATATAAACTTTATGATGGATTATTATTTAAAATTGTGTTATAAGTTAATATTTAATCTTAGCTCGAAAGATTGTATATGAATTAAGAATCGTCGGTATACTTTAGCAAAATTAACATAAAAAATCAAACTAACTTATGTTTTTTTCATCATAGTGTGTTTAAATTTACTGTATTCCAGTTGTTTTTCTCTCTATTAATTGTGGTTTGCGAGGCGGGCATAATACCAAAGGAGGATTACTCGCACCATGCGGTTTATCACGGCTATGGCGCTACCAGTTATCAAAATGTGCAGTTTAATAATCACGATGCTATAGAGTTACCCGCAAATTATGGAGATCCCGCAGAAATTCAGGAGACTGATGTGGAGCACCATCATGAGAGAATCATTCCAATTGTGGAATCAGACAATGATGTAGATCACATCATGTCCCATTCCGGTAAATAAAAACGTAAATTCTCATTAAATCGATCATGTTCGTAAAAAAAATTGATGTGATTTTTCAACGAAATAGAAATGCCTGAAAAAGAAGATACACAAGCATAATACAAGTCATCACGACATTAAAATGATATTAAAGTAACTCCAAAATGATTACTAAAAGATAATGTTTGATTAGTTACAATTCACTTTAATGTTATTTTGACGTTAACGTGGTATTATTTTGACACGGGTAACTCTAGCATCGTAACTTGTTGTTTTGCTTGAATATATTAATAATTTAAATTAGAAATATCGTGATAATTTGATATAATTTTAAAATATTGTATTTTTAGAGATTATTTATAATATTATTTTAAAATGATCAGTACATACCATAATTATGTTTTGTAGAGGCAAATAGAGAATATTAATTTGTTTCAGCTCCATATGAAGAATTTCCTATTGATGACGTCAAATCTGACATACTACTCGACCATGATCACTATCTCGATCATGACCATTATGAAACATCATTATAGTTCTATAAAAATATCTTTATTTATAAAAATAATTTAAAAAATAGTGTTCAAATAATTAAAATGCAATCTTTGTCTATGTGGTCAATTTAAAATTAATTGAAAATTTCTCAATAAGGCTCAAATGTATTTAACAGACACGTTCGATTGCTTGATAGTTAAACAAAAATAATTAATAAGCGTCTTAGAGAATATTTTTTTTAAAGTATAACTGTTTCTGCATCGTAGTTTTTATCGCAAGTACAAATATGTTCTTGTGAAAATAATTACTCGCAACAGACGGAAATAATTGCGAACGTGGTTTGAGTAATTTTTTTTATTCGTCCTTTATATCCAATATAT